GTGCAGCAGGAGGAGGAATACCCTCCCTGAGCAGTGAGAGAAAAACYACAGGTGATGACCTGACCAAAACCCCCATTCCCTGTCTCCCTGCACAGTGGATGGGAAAAATGAAGGGGTTGGGGCAGCTAAGGTGTTTTTTTAAGAGCTTAATTTACCTCTCATTATCCTGCTCTGATTTTATTTGTAATAAATTCACTTTATATCTCTAAGTTAAGCTTATTTTGCCCTTGACAGTATTTGATGAGTGATCTGTCCCAGTCCTAAACTCGTGAGTCCTTCGTTAAATTTTCTCCCCTCTATCCAGCTGCAGAGGGCAGTGAGTGAGCAGCTTTTGTGGGTACCTGGCATCTGGCCAGCRTCAACCCACAACTGGATATTTAAACCATTGCCTGTTTTTCCTTGGATGCCACTTTTCAGCAAGAGACATTTGCTTCCTAAGGCAGAGCTAGTTACCTAAATGTAGAAACAAAGGAAAGGAAGGAGARATCAAAATATGTTCCAGTCTTACAGACAGAGAAGTCTAAATCTGAGAAGAAGAAGAAGAATCTCAGCTCCTCTACGCCTTGTCTTTCCCTCTGGCTGGTCTCAAGAGAAGCTGCTCTCCCTCATTCAGAGATTTTTTTGGTAGGAGAAGGATGCACCACTGTCTAACTTTCTCAGTTCCTGGAAGGGGAGAGAGATGCCTAAATCAAGCTTATGAACTAAAATCTTTGGGTATCTGCCTAGACATGAAATACTTAATTTTTAGTCCCTTGTGAATCTTCCCCTTTTGTTCTTAGTGCCTATGTTTGAAAACTCACCTACTACACATGTTAAAAACTAACAGGCTGTTAAAAATACAAAGTATCTTTCTTCCTTTGTTTGTGACATCAGCTAAATGTTTGTACTCCATCCCTTTCAGGATATGGACTTGTGCAGTGGTCCGATTCAGAAGACAGATTCCCAAGGGAAAAAACTTTCAGGACAGATTAGATTTTAGTTAGGTCAGCTCCCCGAGCATMGTTAATTTTCTGATTCCACTACCACCAACGCTATGGAAAACATAAGGCCAAAACGTGCGGAAAAGGAAGAAATGTGTGAGTAAGGAGGGAGAGGAATCAGGTAGCAGTAGCCCAAACTTAGAGCAGCTTATGCTGAGTTGGAATCATACTCCAAGGTACAGTTTGGGCTGTTATCTGCCCAGTCGGTTGCTATAATCCATATCTCCTGTAAAATAAATCGGTTTGAAATGCACACTGAGTCTCAAAATAAATTAGATATCACCCAACGTAGAGTTTTGCAAYTAGAAAAAAAAAGACTTGGCAATGAGCGAGGCCCATGGGTGGGGCTTCATTTGATGCAGAACACAAGTTAACAGTTTGCTGTTGCTTGAAGGGGGCTGCTCATCTTTTTTTGTCCTGCATTTCCTCCCACACAGGCACATGCCATAAATGCTTGCCTTGCACCAATGCCAGTGCTCGTCTTGCATTTAGTTTAAGAGTGGGTCAGTTTGTCTCACTGTTCGCATCAGAAAACAAGCCAGCAAAAAAACTGAGTGGTCTCCTGAGCTTAGGAACTGAGTCAGCTTTCTTGGTCACCTGGCATGTTTGGATGAGCTCCACACCAAGCAATTCCAGGGAAGGAGCAGGAGGCTCTGGTGGGAGCAGCACTGAGCTGTTAGGTTGGTCCAGTTTCCTGCCAAATTGCAGCCCAGTTTTTCTTGGGCTCTGCTATCCAAAACGTATTATTAAATGTTTGCAACTCCTATGTCAGAGCCTTGCCAAACTTCTATTGCTATGGACTGTGGGCTGAGTTTGCATATCCTTGTAGATTCCAGAACTGGCCTTCTCCTTGGCTCTTGCTGGCAAGTTGTGGAACAGTGCTGCAATGTTCTTCCCCTCCAGGAAATTCTGCTTACTAAGGGAGCAATCTAATTATGTGCTTGAAACTTCTGGAGAAGTATCACCAGCCCCTGGAGGGGAGCAGCAGGAATCCAGAGGCTATGCAACAATAGTAGGAAATGCCGTGATGAAGCCTGCATTCAGTAAAGAAGAGTGTCACTTCAATGACAAAATACCTACTTGAAAATTTCCTTTCTTTGAGCAGCAGCCTAGCAATTCCTTTATTAAGAAGACTTGACATTTTTTTCGCTGTCAGGTCACAGGTTTTACAGGCGGCTGTCAGAAGGATGCCAGCCTCTCTGCTGGGATTTATAAACCAAGAGATTCACAGTTCCGTTTCATAGGTCACAGGTCTGGCCTTTTCCTGTTGCCCAAACCAAAGTGATTTCATTTGGACAATAGTCAAACAGAAAGGAGAGCTCTTTTGCCCCTGAGGAGCAGCAAGATACAATTTGAGTCATTTTACTCTACAAAACCATCCACATTCTTTGAAGAGAAAAAACAACTAACTCTGTCCCTGARCCCTAGACACCCAGGCAACAAGATCCACTCAGAGCAGCTGAGACCCACTGGGATTCTGTGGAAGCTGTGGTGGAGACACAAGAACCTTTCGTCTCCTCCCACACATGAGCTTTCCAACATCCTTCACAGCGAAGCCAAATTGCTTCAGTGAAAATTCCTCTGTGCAGTACATACACCGAGTTCCTACCAACAGCATCTGTTACTGAGCTATTGTGGAGTATGTAGCAGAGCCACAGGAACATTAGACCCCAGATTATTCCTCACAGAATAATTTGATTTATGGTGCCATGACCTGGAAAGAGGATATGTGCACTTTCTGACACAATTGAGGAAGTGCAGGTATTTCAGTAGCATGGCCGGGAATTTCTGACAAGGAGGTGTCCTGAATTTCTTGGCAAGGGYGATAGAAGCAGGTCTGAGTCACTGGTGGTGCAGCAGAGCTTCCGTATTTTCATTTGTGAGGGTGGGTTTATTTTCTTCTTCCCACACTTATGCTGCAGTGTGCAATGGTCTTTTACACCCTGTTTCAGAATCTAGATGTGCAAAGGAAGGTGATTTGTTGTGGCTGCATTCAGTGCCTGGTGTGGAGCCTACTTTCTGAGAACACACTTGCCTTAGGTTTGCAGCATGAGTCTTCAGATATGCTTAGCATTAAAATGTGGTTAACTTGGTTTCTAGCCCCGCTGAACTTTGACAATTAAGGAAGATATAGTGCAGCAAAATCAGACTTCTATGTTTATTTATTTTTAGCTTCCATGGAAATTACAATGATGCAGTCTTGCTCTGAGCATGTGTGCCCCTGTGTGTCTGTCTGTCCTCCCTTTGCAAGCAACTCCTGGCCACCCTAAGCCCAGTTTTACTCAGAGGCAGTGCTTTCAAACATACTGGGTCCCTACATATATCAGGAAAACAGACAGTTGAATATAGCAGAGGGAAAGCCTACCACCTTATATGGAAGAAAATGTATTCTATCAACCCAAGCCATATGATAAAAGGAATCTACACAGGAGAGCAATATTATATATCCTAACCTCATAAAGAGTTTTAATCAGAGTTTGCACCATTATGGTGCTGTYGCGTTCCAACCGTAGGGAACTGCGAGGAGTTCTTTTAAAATGGATGGTCAAGAACGAAATGAAGTCAACCGAGAATCTCAGAACCATTTATTGGTAGCCCGAAAACGGAGAAGAGGTAGTTGCCCACTAAAGGGGGCTGGAAAAGACAGCAAAAGGAAAATGGGAAA